GAACAAAGGGGCAACCGTTTTCTCAGTCTGGATTAAAAATAAATAGGGCAGTTCACACACACACACACACACACACACACACAGAGAGAGAGAGAGAGAGAGAGAGAGAGAGAGAGAGAGAGAGAGAGAGCAATTTTAAGTTCTAATCCTCGCACAAATAACTCAAAAGGGGGATATTTTGGTTCCATAATCAGAAAATTTTATCTTTTTAAATATTTAGGGGAGGATGTTTTTTATTTGGTGGAATTTGGATAATTAATTTGTTTGGAATAATGAGAAAATTTTAATTTAAAAAATATCATACATAAAAAGAATAAAGTAATATAAAAATATGGTAAAAAAAATATATGAAATAGCAAGAAAACTTATTTCTTTTCTTCCTGAAATAGAAATAGAGACAAAAAAAGAAACAAAAAAGGAGGAAACAGATGACATGAATAGTTGAAAGGACATTCATGGGGACTTAGAACAGTGGTTAAGAGACGAATGAGAATTAGTGGGAATTACTAAAAAAGAGTGCAAAGAATGAATTGAATCCGGTTTAAAGCCTAACGAATATTGATTTGCTAATTATCTTGAAAAAAGGGGATATCGAGGGAGCGATTTTTACATTTCTGAAATAATTGAAATAACCAAAAAAACTAAAAGTTTTTTCTGACAAGATATTCATCCTGATTTTACTCTAGAATTGCAGGAGGAATGAGAAGAAAGAAAATTTGATAAAGAGCAATGTGAAAAGTGACTAAATAACTTGGGCGACTCCTATTCCTTAAAACCAAAAGATTCCTATTATGCTCAATGATTAAGAGATATGGAACTAGAAACGCCCGAAAGCATCTCTAATCGTAGTGATAAGGATGAATATTTAAAAAAACATCATCAAAAATATAAACGCAGAATGTTTAAAATCATACCCTTAGAAAGACTACATGCTATCTACAGAGACATCAAGAGTTATCACGAAAAGTGGGATAAAGAAAAAATAACTAAATTAGTAAATCCATCAAAAATAGAGAGACTTTTCACCACTTTACAATACTTAAATAGAATTGCTGCTCCAGTAGGTCCTATCTTGATAGCCACAGGTTACCAGCAAGAAGGAGGAATAGTTACAATAGTTTTTCTTTATACTGAATTTAGTACTTCATGACTTAAAGAGTATTTTTTTAAAGTCGAAGAGAAGCAAAAAGAGTGAAATGAACTTGAAAAAGATACCAAGAATCTTCGTGACGGTTATCAAGAACTAGCAGAAATACTTAAAAATATTGATACTGCTCTTTCAAAGGAACTAAAAATTAATATTTTGAACGAAAATATAGATAAGATGCTCACAGAAAAAAAAGAGTTTGGGAGGGGAACACGAGTACTAATGGAACTAGAAATTCCGCCAATCTCTATAGGGTTTAAAGTTAATATACCCTCACAATTAATGGAAAAAGAATGAGAAAGAAGAGGAGAAGAAAGAAAAAAAATTAAAGAATCAATGGAGAAACTTATAAAAATGACAAGCAAATATCGACAAGGAAATTTTGATGAAGAAACAAAGAAATATGCAATTTCTGTTAGAGAAAAAATAAAAAAAGAAATGAGACTTCGTGTGGAAGCACGAACGCTATTTGTTAAGTCATCATACACTGTCGAGAGAGGAAAAAATAATAGTTTGCCGAAGGAAATGTCATTTTGAATGGATTTCAATGGAATCATCCGAGTAGAATCTGCTGTTATTAATGGAAAGGAATCCATCCTCCAAGCAAAAGTTGGTGATAGAGAGATTAAGGATTGACTAAAACAATTTGCAAAAATTTGCTGCCGTGGAAAAGGTAAAAATGAGCCATCACTGAAAGAGCAATTAAGTTTAAATAATGATGAAAAAGCCAAAGAAGTTAAAGAATTGGTTGAAAATCAAACAGAAAGTAATCAAAAAGATACAGTAATCAACTTAGAAGAAAACGAACAAGGAGGATTAACTAAAAAAGAAAACTCTCAAGAACAAACCTCCCTCCAAACCCAACAATTACAAGAACCTAAATAACATGCTCCATGACAGAATTAACAAAAAAAAAAAAAAAACAATCTACCTAATTAGCACCATAATAGCCACAGTGGCCATCGGAGGGATGGTCTACTGAATTTGGCCTAAAAAAGCAGTTAAGACTGAAACCAAAAACCAATTTGAAGTTCCTCCCAAACAATAATTCTCCTAATCGTTTTGAGTTAAATAATCAAGCCAATTATGACGGGAGATACAAAAAAAATTATTGAACAATTACGACAAAAGCTAATTAATTATCAGAAGGAGTTAAAAACTCTTGGCAAACAGTTTTTGAAAGCGAAAAATGGCAACAAACAAGATATTGCCAGTAAAGAAGAAGAGTTGGAAGAATGAAGACAAAAATTAGAACTTTGCCAGCAGGAGAAAAATAATTTGAAGCAAGAACTTCGTGATAAAGTCAAGGAGTTAGAACAGTCAGAATTGACTAATGGCGAAAAACAAACTAAAATTAATCAAATCTTAACCGAATATAGTGAAGAATTAGAAGCAGTGGATAAATTACTGGAAGAAGAAAGGACACAATATCGTTCTTTAAGAGACCAAATAATTGATAAATTATGCGGACCTTGTTCTGCTTGTGTTGAAAAAGCACAGGATAAAAAACATTTGAGGCAAAAGAACTTTTATCTTTCTGCGTTGGTTGGCTTGTTAGTAGTTTTATTCTTTGTTTTTCATATTTGGTTTATTCAGTGGGCTTGGGGGAGGAAAGTTAAATGTTGTAATCACTCTAAAAAATAACACTTTTAAATTTGTCTAGATATCTTATCCTTAAATTAAACAAAAATTGTTCATGGTCAAGATAATGGAGTATTTGTAAAAGATAAAGAAGTTGATTAAAAAATTTCTAATTCAATAGGAATTAAGAAAGGTTGGCCAAAATTTTCTTTTCAATGTTCCTTATGCTCTTTAACAATTTGCCCATATTCTTCGGGGTCAAGGCAAATATTTTGACAACTAGGACAAAGATGGTGGCGATATTTATTTTGCTCTAATCGAAGAGTAATTAAAATTTCTTGATTGATTAAAGAGGGGTTAGATAAACAGTTAGGTTTTTTAAGTTTATATTGTAAAATCAGTCGTTTATCACCCCTAAAATTATTCTTCTTTTTAGTGGTAATAGTAAATAATTCTATAACTAGTTTACCTTTTTTTACTTTTTTAAAACTAGTCACTAAATAATATCTATTCCCTCTAAGGTCGATATCTTTTTCTTCATCAGTATAATCTAAGTTGATTCTGATAATTTGATTTTCTAAAATTGGCTTAAATTTGTTCTTTCGGCGTTTCCTCTTTTTAGCCATTTTTTACAATCCTATCTTTTTTACTAATTGGGAAGCGGATTTTTGGTAAAAGTTGATTAATTTCTCACTCTGCGGCATTTCTTTAATTTCACCGCCTTCTT